AAACAACTATAAAATGATTGAAAATAATTATATTGGATTACTTGTGTATATCACTTACTATCCAGAGCCATTTTCATCAAGTGTTAAATAATAACTGTAATCAACTGCCAGCAATATAGTGACTGGTATCAGGGGTGAACCTTTAAAAATATACAAAATAATATCAATTATTGATTATAAATTCTTACCCCAACAGACTATAGATACAGTCAGATGATATCTCCAAGAGACATTGACAAAAACCATTTGAAGCTTTTGAAACATCAGTAAAGCTTCAGCTCCCATCCACATCCAAGCAACAAGAGCAAAGTAATGTATGAGAACACCAACAGTAATGCAACCTTCCTTAGGAGAGACTTCACTGATACCACTGACAAACACTAGGAGCATTAGTGACAATGAGACACAGAGTTGGATGTGAAACTTGCTGGCATCTTTAGTTCTTATTTTTCTATAAAGAAAGAGCTAGTGCATAAAATAATTTTGGCTATAGTTTTGCTCCCATTCTCTGTTTCTCTCCCAAAATGCAATACAATCTTATACATACTTGAATATGACAAGTGTGATTATGGTTAGTATCAGACCCACTAATGATATACCAGCTCCAATATAAGAGACCGTGTCAAGTGCTATAGTAATATGATGTGGAGACTGAGTGGGACCTTCTGTCCTCCTTGATATATCCTGTAAAAGTCATTGTGCATTGGAATTAAAGATATTGCATTCATTTGTCATGTGCATATACAGGAGAATGCATTTGTGAAAGCTTACTACTAGCAAGAGTACATAATGTACTCTTGCTACTAGTATAGCAAAGTTAGTCAAATGATTGCAGTGACATGTTACTGAACTGTTAGCAGCTTCAACAGTACACCCATCAGTTGACCAGTTACCTCTACCTTCTATAAAAAGCATTAATGCATTTCAACAGATACTGATTAGCCTTGGGCCCAGCCCTGATAACATTCGGGGCTGGACTGAAGACTGTTCAAATATGAAAATATACATACCAGCAGCGTTAAAGTCCCAGTATACACAACAAGGATTACTAAAGTTCTATAAAATAACATAGCTTACGAATAGTAATTTATAAAAATAGATTACATTTCTTTTTAGTGCGAGAATGATTACTACTGGATCAGGTAGTTGAGTACCATCAGACACTCCAGCAATTCTAGCACTAATGACTGATGATCCCACTACTGTATTAGGAGGAGGGTCTCTGATAGGAAAGAATGCTGTTTCCTCATATAGAGAGAATGCTACTTTTATCTGAGCATCAGTTGTAACATTGAGAATGCTTTTTGGTATTGTAATTGATCCTATTTCAGTATCAGTAGAATTACCATCAGTTTCTACCATTAATGAACCATCTATATGCATAAAAAATAAGAATAATAGGTATAAAAATTAACTAACTTGAAGCTGTTGCTGTGAAGGCTAGTTTATTATAGCTTGACCTTGTAACCTTTTAAATAGAGATTTTCATTATTAATTTTTATTATCTATATTTTTCTCACCTTTCTTATTTTAAAAGCAATGTTTCTTTCAACTATGTCTATATTAGTGTCATTGTCGTAATTCAAAACAGCATCTACTATTCCCTCAAATGATTGAATGATCCTATCAATACAACATCACAATAACAGCAATGTTTAGTTATATCTCACTGGTTTCCTTCTGCTTTCATTATTGTTGGCCATTCCTCTATATTATCCAATGTTTGTATAACAGTCTCAGTTATCTATTTAATATTATTAAGCCACAATAAATTACATGTAACATATATTTTACAGGAAATTTATATTATGTTTACCACTGTTAAGTTAGAGGGTGATAGATTAGCATATTCTGATATCAATACTGCAGTTTGGTTTAGTATATTTGATACTATTATGATATTATCAATGGATTGATCATTATCAGTTGAATTCATCACCAGTTCATTCAAATTCATCAACACAGCTATGTTATTCTCTGTAG